TATATCTATACATATTTTTTAATTTTTATTTGCTTTAAACTGTTTGCTTTTAAAAATTTAAAACTTCTCATTATAATTAAAGTATTATTAAATATATTTTTATCTCATTTAAAAATGATACTGTTCATAAAAATCCCAAAAGATATTTAGAAAGTAAAGAGAATAGGTTTTGTTAAAGATCATGACATTATATTTTATGTGAAGATCATAATCTGAAGGTGACTGTTACAGTGGGATTTTCGTTTACAAGCTAAACAATAATCTCAATTGATTTATCTGTCATAGCACGCTGACTTTTGCAGAGTCAGTGTGAATTCTAATCCAAACAATTTTCTGAAATATATTTTCAAAGATAACAATGTTGAAAGGGTTTACTAAATGTACATTTATTACATTAAACATGCTTTTAATTCAGTATTAACAGCTTTAATGCATATAAAGGTCTTATTTCAGTTCAATACTACGTCAAAATTAATGATTATCATTTGTTTGGTTGTCATGTTTAAATGATTGTCCTTTTTTAAATTGTCTTCAACATTAATACAAAATTTGTCCTTTACAAATAGAGATTATCCTATTAGCACCTTAGTCAATTATATCAAACCATTGTCGGAGACATCTAAACAGAGCGTGGTTTTTTCTTATATTATATTCCTTCTGGATTTATGAAACTAGACTGCTTAGTTGTATAAGTATTTATATTTTCTAAAATAGTGTCTTGGTTTTTAATTGCGTCTTTTTTCTTTTTGTTGTGGGGTTGGGGTATGAAGTGTTTGTTTAAATATGATTTTGACAGAATGTTACAGTTAACATATTTTTTCAGCAATTTTAACATTAAATTAGATGGATTTGTTTATTGTTGTCACCTCCAAAAGCAGAGGTAAGTTTGGTTTTTGTCGACACTACTGACTTAGCGACAGTTCTTATGACAGTGTTGCAGAATATGAAGTTGTTTAAGAATTTATACAATTTCACTCATATTATTAATGACCAATGACTGTAGAAACAAACCCGTCTTTTGAAAAGAAATAAACATTAAGTATGCAAATGCATAAAATTTTTAAGTAATTTAACACCGATAAAGGAGTTGGTAAAAGGGTTCACATGTTTAACTACGTGTAAATATGGCCGGGAATGCCCAGTCACAGTAGTGAAGAAATTTTTGAAATTCAGATATTCTCGTGTTAGGTATTGAAATATTGTATGAAATGTATGTAATATTTACACACCTTCGGACTAACTCTTACTACGTTGATTTCTTGTTAAAAGCATGAAAGGCATTATGTGAAGGTCCTTACAAAGTATTTTCGTAAACTTAAGCCAAAATTATCGAAAGAAGATGCAGAATTAAGATTATCTCTCCGATTTATCATTGGTACTGGTTAATGTATAATTTAATTTAGAAAAAGCTTTAGAAACTAAAATCAATATACCAATTTTTCAGTTTATGGACTAACGAATAAGTGAAATGAAACCAAGTCTTATAAAAAACACCTTTAAATCCAAATTGAAGTTTTTAAATATATATACTTTTGACTACTACGTCATTGTCACACGTTTCTGTTGAAACGTATTCGTAGGCAAAACAAATTCATCTTTTGTTATCAAATGTTACGTTCGTTTTTCACATATTTAGTTAATTTTTAAATCGTATATGCCATGTCACTGGCGTTCATGTGCTCAGTTTCCTCTATATTAATACTTTACAACTATACGTCTTTCCATATCCATACCTTTCGGTATATTTTACACACCCGGCATTTTGATTTATTATTTTAGTACAAAATAAAAACTCCCTAGATAAATGTCATTTGTGGAATTCATTTAACCTGATGTATGAATATTTTGATATGTGCTTATTAGATTTATCTTTTATTTATTCATCACAAAATGTAAGGCTTTTTCAGCTATATTGAAGCAGAAATCAACTTACGCATGCACCCAATCAAGACATGTTTTGATTATGATGAACCAGTCAATTTTCCTTTTTGACAGATGATGGATATATTTTTAATGCAACTCGTCTTTATTCAATGCGACGGGGACAAGTTATGTTTGCCGATAAACATTGTTAACATTTACAGACTATAATCTTGTCGTATAAAATTACACTTAAAGGAATTAGCTGTAAGATGTCAAGCGTCAAACTTTTTTACAAATTAAATATAATGGGTAACACAAAATACATTCATCAGTTTTATTAACAGGATGTCTAAAAGGTACAACATTTTGATAGATTTAAAAGGATATCTACAATATAGCACACTCTTCAGAATTTAAAATATAAATCATGTCACCAGACGCTATAAGTAGTTCATTCTTCATTGTGAAGGATTAAAGAACAATTCTCGCATAAAAAAATACGCAAAGAGATACATCAGCGAAGTAAAACATGCATAAACGGATAGAGTCTCGTGACTTGTGCCGCTTCTCAATATGCGTTATGTAATATCATTTTTATGCAATCACGGCCCAATAGTTATAATTTAATATAAAAACTGTACTGTCAAATGACTTTGCAATACCACGTGAAAAACATGGCAAAATGTTTCTTTTTACAAAATACATATAACGAAAGAGGGATTACCGATTTAGTCGTATAATTTTTTTGCAAGAATAGCGCTCATTTCGTACGTTTATTTCTACAGAAGTCCTCAAACATATTTATTCTTTCGCCCTATTTACATGATTTACACGAGAGATTCTCTTATTTGTTTTGGTACTTATGACATCAGAAATTTTTTCTTTTAGGGTTTTTTTGTCTCCCCCAGAAAGATCATAACACCTAAATTGTGGTTTTTTTAAAAGTAACATAAATACTTTTTCCCCCTCGCGTGGGAAATTTCTATTCGTCTTCTAATTATATTGATATATCTGATTGAATTTCATCTTAGGTGAAATTATTTTCTGAAACTGTTTTACAAAAGCATACGATTCTTTAGATTGTGTTATGCTTTGTAAAATGTCTTTTACGGAAATTGTTTTCCAAAATATATCAATAAGGAACATTTTGTACAAATTTCAAACTACATGTATTTCAACGTCTTTTTCTTTTCGTGTTATCTACCAAAAGGTATCTTAAAGATGTTATAATCATGATAATTGGTTGTCGGTTCGTCATAAAATCGTTATATGGATGCAAACATACCATTGTTTATGATTCTTCCTTCGTAAATTTCCAATTACAAATTAACCCCAATTCTTTTTAATTTACTGTAAATTAGGATTCTCTTCACTATGTCAAAAGACTTATTAAAATTAATTTGATTTGTAAATGCTTCCATAACAACATAAATGTAATACGTTGTCCGATTCATTGCGATAGTTTGTATTATAAGACATAACAGTACAGAGAGGGTTACAGATGTTTTATTTCTCATCTTAAATTAATAAAATATACTCCTTGATCCTGTAGGTATACCCTGTAGGTATAAAGTGTATGAAGAATGGTGTTTGACAGTCTCTGATAAACTCTGTTTTATGTTGTTGTGTTTTTTTTTCTTAATTTTATTCATCAATATTTGAATAAGTGTTAAAAAATGAAATCGCGTATATTTTTAAGATACATTAGACAACATTATGTCTCTCAAATGATAAAAACACACGCGAAACCGGTTACTTATAATTAAGGCGCCATGCAAATGATATTTTTACTGATGTAAATACTTTTTATTTGCTTCTTTTTCGTAACCCTCAACTCAGTTAGTACACTAATTATTTATAATGGGTTTGCCTTATTTTGAATTTAGAACAATCCAAAAAAAGGTTAAGGTAATTCATGTTCGAAATACCCAAAAGGATACACTTAACAGTATAGAGCCTGGTAGTTTTTTAATTATTAGAGAACGTAGAGAACGGATTTTCATAATTAGGAAACGGAAATTATGTTTATACAATTATGAGAAACCAACGATAAGTTTTTCTTTATATATTCAAAAGAATGGAGGATTATTTCAATGATGAAAAAAGAGATTAGTTCTTTTACAATTATGAGTGAGCAGAGGTAAGGGCTTTTTTACTATAATTAGAGAACGGAGATTAGTTGTTTTCTTGACAATTATGAGAAAAAAGAATAGTTTTTTTACAATGATGAGATTGCGGAGATTAGCTTAAATGTTTAGAGAATGGTGATTAGGTTTGTCAGTTAATAATACGAGACAGCAATAAATGCAATTTTTTAAATATGAGAGAATGGAGATAAGTCAGGTAAAATAATATTCAAAGATTAAAGAGATCTAAATATGAACATATTAAGATTATTCTACGTTATGTAAATGTTATGTTAATCAAATAGAAAAAAATGATACATATTTGTTTTAAATTTTGTGGAATTAACGTTTAAAGATATTTACACATTTATAAATCAATATACTGATTTTAAATTGTAAATCTCATTTAAGTGATAGTTGGTTAGGAGAACTGAATAATTTCAGTTTGTAAATATACTTCAGTCACATTCAAACATTATAACTTACTACCTCTTCTATTTGTTATTTTTATTTACATGAAGATTAACGTCATAATAAATCAAATGTAGATATATACAATATATTTGAACTGATTTATCCGTATTTTCTTTCTTTCGTTAGTTCTATTATTCCAGTTGGTTTTAAGTTACAAAAATACTGTTGTATTAATATGATGGTTTTCAGGCTTACTTTGAGAGTTTGTCCATATTGCCTTCCATAGGGTGTTCTATCAAATCATTCAAAGTTTTAAAGAAGTTATATGAATTCGCCAGACTATGTTTTAACTGAAATTCACATAGTCAAATGAAATATTAAATACAAGTTTTGATCAAGTTTAAAACGTTTCAGTTATATATAAAAATATTGTGTTTTTTATAATTATTATTTTGTTGTACAAAAGAAAAGTAAATTGGCACAGTATACAAATTAAGACCATTATTATATAAAATCGAGCGTCGAGGAATGAAATAAGGGAATAATATCTATTTTATATTTCAATATTCGATTACATTTCTTCCTTGTTAAAGTTTAAGATAGGTGGTCCTTAATTAGTTATCTTAACTACCCTTAGTTTGTTTGAGCCATTCCTCTAAAATATATTGATTAAGCAAATGTTTATGAATATGTAAAATGTGTTATGGTTACATCGAAAAAAAATGTGTGTTAATGTTTTATTTTAGTGTTACATAGAAAAAGGCGCATGCAGTGCAATGTTTTATTAATTTAGTAATTAAGATAGAGGTATGTGTATTAAACCGTGTTTCTTTCTTTTTCTTTTTCTTGTTTTTCTTCTTTTGGTACATAAGGATTGTTCGTTTAAAAGTTATTGAAATAAAATAGATAAGGGAACATAGAATTATAATGTTAATAAAATGAATTACCACGTGACTATATGTTATAAGAGCTTTTAAAAGGAAACGTAATATTGATAAGAAAGAAAATAATAAATCATAATTGATATGTAAGTAGCAATCAGTTTGGTTTATTTTTATATTCCATTTCATTAACAAAATGCCTCGATTTACGTCAAACATAGAGATTAGCTATATATGTAGGCTAAGTAATAAAGGACAATTTGTGTTAAGTTTATGTTAAACTGGTCATTAAAGAGTTCGGTTTTGATATTGGAAGTAGTGCGCATAAACATAATTATTTCCATTACGATTATAAATTAAAACAAAATTATTGAGTATATTTAAGCTTCAAAGAATATGTTTAAAATAAATGTTGATATTTTGTTTTGTAAATCTTGTATTCTTTTAAAGTATTACACAGGTGACACGGAATAGATTGTATCACTTGAGGTCATTGTGTACGGAAATGGATTTATTTCTCTTAGTTTTGTTCCTTGATGTCATTTTTAAGAACAGAGGTAAGTCTGTTTTTCTAATCAATACATGATAACAATGTATACTATATTTTGAATTTACTCTTTTCAAATAAATAGTGTCTCTAAAGGTGTGTTAAAACAGGTTGCCCCAAATTTTTAGTACTTTTCCCTTTTTGAATTATGAAAAAAAAAATAGTAAAAAAAAGCCCAAGATAGTTAAAGTCTAACTTTTGAAACATTTTTAGCCCTTTTATATTCATGTTCTGTATTTAGTTTACATTTTTAACATTACAGTTAGGGAAAAATTTTTTGGTTAATTTAATTTCAAACATTGTTTTAAGTTAAATTAAAAATGGAATCCAAAAGTAAGATTTTGTATCTTCACACCCTTAAAGAACTTTTCATAAATCTTGGGCCCATTGTATCACAAAATTAATTTCATAGGAAAAATTTTTTCTCTGGCAAAGCAGATAATTTTTCAAATATAACTGTTCGTTTGTAAAGAAGACAAATATTTCGTAGGCTACCGTGTGACGTCACTAGCGTTTATTTAGTTGATCTCCTCCATGGAACGCCTCGATTATCCAAAAAATTGTTGTTTTTTTATGAAAAATAATATGCAAGCCAATATTATTCATATGGATATATTTTATCATACTTGTAAATAAATGCTGTACCTTTGATCATATCTCTCTATTAATCATTACATTTTTGTTATTTCTATATATATTCTATGTTATTGTTGCAGTCTTTGCAGTTGTAACATTGACTTGTGACGATTTCTTCAACTTTTCTGATCTTGACTCGAAAATCAATGACACGTTTTCTGCAGGTAGGTATTTCATTGAAACATTAAACAAAAGTTTTTAGATAGATACATCCAGAACCATAATTATGTCACTGCTTTATACCAGTTTACTATCATACAACTTTTAAGCAAAACGTCAATTTCAGAGTTGAAAGTGTTAAGCGTATGCTGATTCGCAATCTCTGGACCAGCCTATTGTTAGCAGTTGTCATATTAATTATTTTTATTATTTTTTATCATTTATATTTGTGACATAGGAGACTTATTAAGAAACGGATGCACAATGATCGATGTTGATGTGTTGTCGGATATATCTAAAATCGGATTGAATATTAAAATTTTCTATTCATAATTGATTTTATAATATGTTTGTTTTACAGTGTTAAATGATACCGCATTCCGCAATATTTGTTGACACCTGCCTGAAAAGCTCTTAAAATTATTTGTCTATTACTTCATTTTAAGGTATTTTTTGAGTACTTTATTTCTCAAAGCAAAAACTTTTTAGACACATACTTGGCATGGGGAGTCAATAATTTATATGTTTATTTAGCTTGTCAAACACTAAATCAAAGATGAAAGCTGACTTTAAGATATCAATAAATATGCAATAAAACCGTAAAATTGATTATGGAGTAGTTTGGTAAACAATATGTGTATAAAGGAACATATATTTGAATTGAACAAAAAATAATAATTATACGTAGCATTAGACAGAAATTAAAGAATGAACTATGCCTTTAAACAATTCATTTAATGCAATGAAGCTCTTATAATGTAGGTTGATTTGTTTGTATTTTAGGAGAAAATCTATACACGCAGCTGTTCCAACTTATTTTCAAAAACTTTGTTCATATATACTTTGTAGATGTTGGTGCCAAATTAAGTTTATAATTCACTCGCTTTTTATAAATTGAGTCATTTATAGAATGAAATATAACCCCCTAACGTACTGAATTTCTTAGATTGTCTTTTCCGGTTTTCATCTGTTCGAACCATTAAACTGCTTATTTATATCTTGATGAAAATGGAAAGTTCGTCAGCCATATAGAATCTAGTCAGTCTGTCTGGATATGCAGGCTGGACTGAAATGTAGTGGTAACAAATGTTTCAAACTTTGGATGCCAAACTCTTAGCATACTGACGGCAGATTAATCATCCTAAACAACCAGTCCATACCAAGTTCAGCCGGTACGTCTGATCTATGTTTGTACTGTTCGCTTTTCGGTCAGTACTTATTTTAAAATTTTCCCTAAAACGACGAATGCTTCTTTAAGTGTTACAAGTCCATTTCAGATATCAAGCACGGTAAGATGTTTTTTGTTTTTTTTTGGAAGAAAAATGTGCATGGTAAACTGCATTTTTTTTCAAATTGTTTTATTACTTAATATTCTATATTCATTTATTCTATAAATGTATCTTATCAGTTTCTTACTTATCGGACACGACTATCAATAACGCTTATCATTAAAAAATTAAAAGACATCATTGCTAATAATTTAATGAAATAAAACGTAGACTTTATCAATTTATATGTCAGGTGACATTTTGTTCAATATCAACGACGAGATTAATTATTCAACAGACTGTGAAGACCAGCAACTTCTTAACCTAACAGCAAGCCCTGATGTCTCTGGAGAAACTGTTGTTTTATTAGCTGTCGGGTTATCTGAGTATTGTGTAAGTAGACAATGACATTACATAATTCAATGATATATTAAACGACAATATATCACCTAAGTGTTGTAGTTAATAAAACTACGAAAGACCCGCGGGGACATTTATATTCGTGTATTCATGAAGCTGACATCGTGAATTTCGTATGTTGAACGTGAATTCACGAATGTTAAAATTGTAAAATATGATAAACAAGATCACCAAGGAAAAGCGGCGTTCAATGAACGCAACCCCCATACGACCCAGTAACAAGAACCAGTGGCAAGGAGCCCAGGCGGACCCCAAACAAAAACACAAAGATGAAATCGGGAATCCATGATAACGAAAATTTCATACAAAACATTTGTATATTTTTATTTTTATTAACATAATTCCTCTCTGTCTACAAACATCAATTCAGTTTTTCATCATAATTTATTATAAAATCTTCAACAGCACATCGGTAGCAGATTTTGTTTTTGGTAAATAAAACTGGCTTGACAATTTTAAGTAAAAAAAGTAATATCTGAAAATAGGAGAGCGTTAACAGATAAGTGTAAACCTTGCCAAAGATAACCAATGTTGTTTTTACAGAAAAGTTGGATTTCTTGTGTCTTCGAATGCACCAAGTCACAGGTAGGTGCAGATTATCATTATATTACACATTCTGTATATTTTACTGTCACCTCGAAGCGTATCCGTTATACACTATTGGAATATGTGTAGCACGTTTACAAAATGGCGTTCACCGTTTTACTATATTTTTATATAGGAAGTAGCATTTTTGTGAATCTTTATCATTAATTAGACAAAATTGAAAATTATGTAGCTGTCGAAAATAGTGCTCATACGCATGTTATGTTCCTTGACACATTTGCAGCATATGCGTCACGTAATTTTTTTAAGTCTTTAATGAAAAGGAGCTACATATTAAAATATCTGGATTACTTTAAAAAGTGAAATACGTTCTTTCTTTCTTTCTTATTATGTTTCATTAGCTCACCTGAGCCGAAGGCTCAGGGTGAGCTATTAGTATTAAAGTGGGATACGCCGGCGTCCGTCGTCGGTAGTCATACGTCAACAATCGTCTTCTTCTCTGAAACTGCTGGGCAGATATACCTAAAATTGGTCTGTAGCATCCTTGTGATAGTCACACTTACATTTGCTCATGTCATTTCAATTGGCCCCTTTTAGGGGTCAACAGAGCTAGAACTAGAAAAACCTTTAAACATCTTCTACTACAGAACTAAAAGATGGAAGATTACCAAACTTTGTATGTAGCATTCTTGGGTAGACTATCATCAAGTTTGCTCATATTAATTTGATTGGCCCCTTTTAGGGGTCTCTAGGGCTAAAAATAGAAAAACCTTTAGACATCTTCTTCTACAGAACTATCTGATGGATGATCACCAATCTTGTCTGTAGCATTCTTGGGTAGTCTTTTATCAAGTTTGCTCATATTAATTTGATTGGCCCCTTCTAGGGGCCGCTATAGCTAAAAATAGAAATACCTTTAAACGTCTGCTTCTACAGAACGAATTGATGGATGATTTTTTGAGGTACAGTAATGTTACCATACAGAATGTATAAAAAATTTGTTGTCCCAAACTCTAGACTTCAAACATCTACACCTTACATGTTTTGCATGTGACATTTTGTGTTTTCATTAAAAAAAGTTATAAAAAAAATTGTCCAGTCAAAATTAATCCTATTCTAGTGGTCAATTATTCTGCATTTATTCTACATAGTCTCTCATAGGAACACACTTGCAACATACACATTTTTAACAAAGCCTTTCCAAAATATTAGGGCTAAATATTTCAATTTATTTAGTGAATAATGGAATGATTGGTTAGATGAGTGATCTAGGGCCATTTTAGTGGCTCTATTGTTTATTATGAAGAAATAAAGCTAAAACAATCAGTGCTGTGAAAGTACATTACTAGAGGGGCAAGTTAAAGTTGAGCTGAACTTGCCGAAAGAGCTGGACTTGCCTTTCAGTAAGTTCTTTTGAAAAATAATTTCCAACATGTTTCTAGTGAGCGACTCAGGGCCATCATGTCCTTCTTGTTTTATTTCTTTACTTTGCTGTGTTATTCAGTGCAAGTATATGGTTATCGCGACAATATTAACAGTAACATAGGAGTGCCATTATTGGTTCAAGTGTTGTTCAAGTGTTTTGTGTTTGTATTAGATATGGATTTGTCAGAAACGTTTCTTTTGATTGACAGAAACATTTTGATCATTCAGGCGCCCCAGTAAATTTGACACAGGGAATACGATTTACAGTTTGAAGATCCATATTACACAGCAAATGTCACGTGGGTAAGTAAATAACTACGAAATTAAAAGCATTTTTAAAGTCATTCAGACCTTATCTTAAATCAATGATTATGTTTATTTCTTTTTATTTATGGTTGTTCAGATGTTTTTATCACAAGATTTAGTATATAATGTCATACCTATTAAAACAAGCCGAGTTGGGTGCAATATTCATTATGAATTTATGATAAAAACTACTTTCAATGGTAAACACAGGACATTACTTCTTAGTCATAAAAAATTATCACCAAACAAATAAATTTATTTCATATTAAAATATAAATATATACTTTTCATTAGCTACAAATAGAAAAAACCTAATGACCTTTTGTGGAAAGTAAGCATTAATTTTGAATCAGTATAATCGATTCAAACATGGGCCATTCTCACCATTTGAAACTCTACTATGCAATTAATCATTTCCTCAGGATGTCAGAAATAAATACGAACGTTATTTTAAATAAAGACCTATTTGTAAAAAGTTGCGAATTTTGCTTCCAATTTGCGTTTGATGTTTCCATCTTATACTGGGAGATACAGTCTAGATCAAGTATGTAATATATATTTTAGTTGATCTTTTCATTTTCCGGTTTTTCTTCTTTTTTATATTCTTTTTCTTTTGTTCATCAAACACCGCCATTCATTATCATAACTACTTATTTCTTCTTCTCTGCCTAATACCTTTCTTGTAAAATAACTTTTGCTACTTTCTTCCATATTTTTTCCATTTCGTTGATTCTTTACAATGTTTCCTACGTTTGAGAAAGCATTTGCAGGATTCTATTGTTGCCTAAGTTTACGGAAAAGAAAAGAAAAACCCCAAATGGGTATACTTTCATCAATTTTTATGTATTTGTACAAAAAGAAAAAATTTAGTAATATTCCCCCCTTCGTATACCCAGTAAGTTGAAAAAAACAAAACCCATTTTTTCCCCAATTAAACCCTTAAAAGTTTTTAAGTGGGAAGCTTTTAAAAGAAAGAAGATTTAAACTTTCCCCAGCATCGGGTTATCCCCTTTGTGCCCTTTAGCTTTTGAAAAAAGATCAATTGGGATACTTTCCCATCGCTTTTCCCAAATTACAAACCTAAGGGTTTGGGACGAATAAAAATTGCCCGAAAAATTTTGAAGATGAAAAAATCATTTAAGATTTTTTGGAAAAAAAAAGGGAAAAAAAAACATTTTTTTTTTCCATTTACAGAGTGAAAGCATTTATGCCATTTACGTGGAGTGTAGAAAACGAGTGGAAACAGTTTATTTGTGAGTGAAGTTTTAAACGACACGATCTCAGTGTTCAATTTGAAAGTTGTTGCAAGTTTACAAAATCCAGCAAATCATGTAGGTTATGTTTGAAATGTATGTTATATCATTATGAACAAAAATCATACTTCCAATTACAAATTCTTATTGTAAAATTTTTTAGTTTGCGAATGTTTAGGAAAAAACTGCTTATTGTAAAAAGACCCAATTTAGTAAAATTATAGTTAAACTTCCACAGAACGCGTTAAATGTTCATTTGTGCATTATCTCAGACAATATACCTGACCAAACAATATTCAAATCAAAAAAGCTTCCCTAGAGGTGTGCTTTTATGAAATAGATGTAAAGGTTGCGTATTAAAAACTTTTGTCGAATGTCTATTACATACAATTTGAAGGACTGTATCAAATGTATACATGTATGTCAAATATAAGTTTATATTCGGAGGTATTTACGATTAATGTGCAAATATAACAAATATTTCTAAAGAAACGTGCCCATATCAACTTACTCCATTTAGTTCTAATAATTTTAAATATATATTTTCCAAACAAAGGCAAATGTGCGCAGACTGACTTTGATTTATGTGGGTGGCATATGCAAACTTTTATCAATCTGAGCAAATAAAGGTTTAACCGCGGCCAAATGTGTATAAAAAGTCATATACATAAGTTTTCGGTTTGAGTGAAATTCAGTTCCGATTAATTATATAGAACCATTTAATTTATTTTATTTCAGAGAATAAAAAGGAACAGCCACATCTACTATTATTGTTTCTGTAATAGACAAATTTTGCCGTACGGTTTATGATTACAATTTTAAAATCATAAACCCCCTTTTGAAAACTTTTTTCCCAAACAAATTTCAGTGAAAGGGCAAAATTGATATGGAAAGGGAAAAAAGTTAACGGGAAAAATTTTTTGGGGAAAAAAAAAAATTTCAATTAAAAAATACTAAAAAAAAAATTTTTGTTTTTAAAATTTTTTGTTTCTAAAAAAGGGAAACAAAATCAGCCCTTTTTTTTTCAACCCCTTTGGGGAAATTTTTAAAAACCCGACCTTTTTTCCCTTTTTAAAAGGAATTTTTATTGTTATGATCAACATTCATCCCCAACACAAATCAAAATTTATGATCATAGAAAGGCGCGAATTTTTTTTTGGTTAAATAATTGACTATGCTCAATTTTAGAAAAGGGAAGGTTTTATAAATTTCCCTTTTGAGAAAAAAATAGGTAAAATTTGGTAAAAACTTTGTCATTTGGAGAGTACAGATGTGACTGTTCAGATGGCTTGTCCGGAGAACATTGTAATGAAAGTAAGGATTGCATCATACATTAATAACGATACAGGCGTCTGTGTCAAAATGTTAAAGATCGTTCATCTCGAACCACTTGCCTATTACCGCTGCCCGGGACTTGACTTTAAAGAACTTCATTTTCTAAGCTATCCACTTAGCTTGCTACATGTGAATAGTTCTAGTCAGGTACTCGGTTGTACCTTAGATAATACTTTAAAAATCGGCAAAGGATATAATGCATACAATTACCTTTTAAGATGTCCGTGACTTGAAGTTATAAAGTGGTACAAACCTTATCGAGAAACCCAGACGTTCATGAATATGAGATATTTTTTAATTTAAATTCCGGACTATTTATTGTATTTAGTATTGAAATTCTGTTATTTTGTCTATTATAGTAAAAACATTTTTAAGACAACAGTGCTTATTTTTCCTTTTCTTTGATGCTTTTTGTACGTTTGCTTTGACCTAAATTATTTTGCATTTATTTTGTAATTCACAGCCAATGGTTTGCTAGAACCAAATGAGGGTACGGACATAATTTCAATAGTAGGTGGAACAGTTGGTGCTGTGTTTGGACTTCTACTTGTTGTGCTTGCAACTGTCATCATATTACGAAAATACAAAAAAGACAAAGTGCAAAGCTTGAAAAAATAATTTACAGTCGACATTGTATTAAGAGACCACTCAAGGGACTGCCAAAATGTGGTCTCTTAATACAGTGGTCTCTCAATAGAATTCTGGAAAATTCAAGACTTTTTTATTACAAGTCATAGATATAATAACATTTTTTTTATAATTACATTTATGCTTTTTTTTAAAAAAAGAAAGAAAGTCATCAAAATGTGTTTGTTTTTGCTTTCTTAGTAGAAATTTGTGTACAAATGTGATCTACGCTCATAATACTACCAACAGGTAATTTTGACCATGAAACAAAGCATCTTGTCTGATATTTTTAATATGTTCATACACATCTCCTGCTGAACGTACTTTCGAATCATCAGCCAATGCTCCAGATAATTTTTTATGCAATGAGTTTTAAACTTCTTGATTTTTTCAGCAATTAGTTTTCACACTACCCCGATTTAAAATTAAGCAAGGTTTTTAGAGATCTAGGATTTTTTTTGATTTTTTTTTTGTCGAAGGGTCATATTTAACGGGGTACTACATGTATTTTATAAAGCATCAAATGAGCACCTACACAATCAGCAATGAAAGGCTCAGTTCTGTAATGTCCACTACGTTTCACGATTTTTTTTGATTTTATTTCGACTACAAACGATGACATTTGCTATTTACTCAGACTCAATTCCATGCACGATTTCCTCAGTCTAATTAGTTGTCTGTCATTTTTTCGCTCGTTCCAACGTCATTTCGGTAAGGGAGGTCACTCTGAGCATATGACAAAACTCTGCAAATGCGGTGTTGTGATACGTTATTGCTGTGACAAAATATGTCACAATAAATATTACGATCGGAAAATCCGATTTTGAAACGATTGCAATTGTTTTTCAATTCGTTTTTAAATGACAATTATTTGTTACCAATGACCATGAAAAATATTTGTTTGTTTGCTTGTACACATCAAACCTACTCGCTGATTACACAGGTGAGAATGCCCGTAGGGACGATTGTTTGTCACGGCCGTTTAATAGATACTTTAACACTTAATTTTGTACATTTGGACCGACATTTAGTGGCCGCTGGCAGCGATATAAAATCGTTTAATGGAATTAAATTATATAGTAAATATCATCGGGAGGGATTTTATGCGGCCGTTTAATAAAAAAGTCGCTTAATAAAGGTGGATGCAAGTACGATGCCGACTGTATTTAATTTATTGTGATAAAAAATTACGCTGAGTGTTATTTATAAATTATTTGTATTTATTGACTATTGGATCTATTGGATTACAGCCCTAGCTCAGTAAGGTGACTTGTACGATTAGTCTGCGTTAATTGTATTATCTTCTTTTCACAATATCTTCTTGTCATGTGACGATGCTTTATTTACTTTCAGGCAGAATTAAAACTGTACAATTGGATTTATTTATTCTTAGCTCCTTTATGAACCTAGAATATGAAAATGGAAACAACTTCGGTGTAATAAATGTAGGTTCACTTATTTCATTTTTATAGTTATCTTCCGTTGTAGTTGAAGCTGTTCTACCTTTAAAAACAGACAATCACCATCCAGGTTAGCAAGGCCTTATTGTTTCTGCTTTAAATGTAACTTCCGTTTTCAGGACTGTGCGAAATAACACAGACTGCAGTTTGTGATAAAAATAATTGTATGAATAACATTTTAACTTGTAATCAATGGTTAATAATTATTTTTGTATTCGCCCGAGCAGATATATATATATATATATAGATTCCAGGCTATATAAACTGACACAAGTAAGATGTAAACAAAAAAGGACATAATAGACAATACAGTGTTCTCTTAATTACAAAAAATATGTTTGTATTTCTGGTACATTAATGTTTTATTGTTTGTCCTTCAAGGTACTTATCCAAAGATTTATTTTCCATTTTTATGAATATAAGATAAGTTACACAACTTCACTTTAAAGTGTTATATTATCTATATTCACCTCTGTACCCAATATAATTTATCTTGTAAAAGTGCAAATATTCAATATAAACTTTTATTTCAATTTGAAGGTATACTTGTTGAAACCGTTAACTCAATATTGTCAATTAAGGTTGCTCACTTAGAATTTTCCAATGAAACATAAACGACTTATATACATTTAATATCATATTGAAATTGCAAGAAAAAAGTAAAATAGAAGAAATCTTGAGAGGCATTTTTTGACTTCCCGCCAAATGTCCCTGTTCAGCTTAAGATGGTTACTATAATTGCTGTCCATAATATACATAGTGACAAAACCTCTCAACCTGTCGACCAATTATCTTTAGACAATCTTAAAGGTCAATCTATCCTTATTATGGTATCTTATAATGTGAATCAAAAGATTACATATTTCAAAAGATATTTAAAATGTATATATAATTTATAAATTGTTTATGATCAGTAAGCATCCTCATAATTAAGAATATAAAGTAACTCAAAACATTAAAACATTTACTTATTCCTTGTTCAGATGCATAATTTGTGAATTGCTCCGCGCCCACAGGCGCGGAGCTATTTGTGTTTACTATTTTTTTTTGTCCATGGGCCCGGATTTGAGCAATAAATCCTTTCGATTCTCAGCTAAAAGTAAATCCGCATTCAAGAACTCCTTTCGATTTCTATATTGGTTTCCCCGTCGGTGATTCGCAGCATGTCATATCAATGAATGAGAACCGGAAAGCAGTTCTGCTGTTACATAAATTCGAAAGCTATAAATAGCTATAAATGTTTTGATTTTTGGCACTTAGGTTATAAATTTGTTCTTTTTTAGTAGTACATAAAATTATAATTTGTTACACTTTGAAATACATTTACACACAGCATATCAAGTATACTATTAGTGATTGAATTTGTCAATATAAAGAAGATTTCAGGCAAAAGATTTTAACAATTTTGCTTTTGATTATTATTTTTAATTCATATTTATGAAATTAAATGTTTAATAATAACATGTTGATATATTGGTTGTTTTGAAATAATTAAACTTTAGTATATAAAGTTACATTTCATTAGCGTCATTGGTACAGCATACCACTTTGTGATAATGGTATGACTGGTGACATGTTCGGGGGTCCGTACTCGCCAGCGAAAGCTGCATTTTGTAGCCTTACGAGCGGATGGACCCTCATTAAGGTAATTCCGCTTTTTCAGCCAAGCTGTTTTCACAAAGTCTGTGCAAAGTGAAAGTAGGCCAAAATTCATATAACAAGAAAGCTCACATTGTTATATGATAAACCATTTGCAAGTACACTTCCAATTCTATGTTTTAAAGATTATTTTAAACAAAAATAAAAATGATAACAATAAGAAATTTACATTGAATGGGCTACATTTCTGAAGACCAAAAACATTCTGTTGCAAATCTTTATGCATATTTAATGAATGGCAAAATCCAGTTTAAAGTCTATTTAAGTGCAAAGAAATGCTATTTTTTGCAGAAAATACAAAAAACTTTAAAAAACATAAATCTTAGGAAAGTAGTTTATCTGACCTTGAAAAAACATGGCCTCCATGACATGTGTAAAAAAGTAGTACCATGAAAATAAACATCATTTACCTATTTCTTGTGTACATGACAAACAGACACACTTCACTGTTACACATAAAAAGGTTAGATTTTAAAGTTTGATTGTGTTTTCATTTTAATTGTAGTTCATAAGGCTATAAAAATGATGATTGTTTTCTTGCACTACTTTTTTACAAAAAATAATGGAGGCCATGTGCTTAGAAGGACATGAAATACTGATTTATTTGGAGTTAAGTTTTGAAAGATTTTTGTATTTGCTGCAAAAAAAAAGCTTTTGTTGGCACTAAAACAGACTTTTAAAAGGAATTTGCCATTCATGAAATGTGCATAAAACTTTGCAACAGAATGTTTTTGGTCTTCAGAAATGTAGCACATTCAAGGTAAATATTCTTATTGTTATCATTTCTATTTTTGTTTATAATTGTCCTTAAAATATTAACCTGGAAGTGTATTTTCAAATGGTTCATCATTTTACAATAAGAGCTTTGTTGTTATATGAATTTTGGCCTACTTACACTTTGGACAGACTTTAGTTAAAACAAACATGGCTGACAAAGCGGAATCACCTTAAGCATAGGCTATAGATATATATCATGACAACAACAGAAACTTTGATCTGCAGTTTGAACATGAAGTGTAATGATTTTTATGAATGGTTTTAAAGCAATTCAACAAAAAAAATATATTGATCTCCCTAAAAATTAATTAACAATAGGTTTTTTTTATATATTACCAATGTCAAATAGCTTTCATATCTTTGTCTCGCACGAATATGATATTAGTGAATTTCCTCATACCTACCTAAAACTCAGGTAACAGTCTTCCATGTAACGCGTGTATAACAAACAAAAAAATCCTGAATTTGGTCTTTTGGAAATTCATCCCATTTTTTCATTCCAGAGTGTGTTCTACTTTCAGTATTGAAAGAAAGCATTTTTTTTTTTAATTTGACATGAAAAATATGCATGTAATATTACTATATTATAATATTAGTCCCTTTTGTAACTATTTGTATATTTGTTACAATTATAACAGACTTTGATATCTCTATCATCTATCTTCTGTTACTGAAACAGAACACAGTACAGTCATGTCACATAACATTTACAAGTCTTGTAAGTCTTGTTTGTATTCAATGGAATTACTTTCCTTACCAGGTAGGCATCAGTGAAAGCATTTTTATATTAAATATTTTCCCCCTCTTTTTAATTATGGACAGTGCATAAGATAAGTATAATTATGCAAAAAATGGTTTACAAAACATTCGGAAAAAATCTACAATAGTACTTAATCTGAATATAACATGACCTGTGCGTAGGAATAATTTGGTAAGGTATTTGTAATGAGCACATTTTTTTGCGCGGAGCTTCTCAATTGCTGCATTGCAGCAACATTTGTACTTGTATAGATTTGAACTTGCACATGATACAGAGAGAATGGAAACAATCTTGAAAAAGTCCAGTTTCCTCTGATTTCTGTGCAAGAATAATGTTCAAAATAGTTTTATGCAAGTCCACCCGATTTCTATAACAAAGTAATGGAATCTGTTAAGAGGTATACACTTTTATTGCATTCCAGATGCAGTATTAGTGCAAAATGTTTGTTGAAATACAGTTTCAAGGCAGGTCTTTGCCTGCACTCCAATACAAGGTGTAATAAAGAATACAACTGCCTTGACATTTTAGAACTGAATGTGAATTCAATTCTGCAGTTCAGATAAGCATGGAAACACATTATTAAACTAAATATACAAACAATTACGAGGACTGGTGTAGAAGGGCAGCATTATATGAACCTTTGAATTCGACTCTTTGCTCGACTGTTTATCAGTGACGCCAAATGTACGAACTTTTGTCTGTTCACCTCAGCTCCTCATATTCTGTCTCTAAACAATAAAAATAGGAAAACTGTAGGTTACCTGCAAGGAATCATTTTTCAGACTTTTGCTTAATATAATACACAATGCAGATTTTACAAGTAACAAAAACATTTCAACATTCGTAGAACATAGTGCCATACTTTTAGGACTAATTATCAATCAGAAAAAAAGTATCAATTTCGTGTTAGAATCGGCATTATTTCTATAAACTTCAAGACAGACCGGTAGAATATCACTTAGTATGAATAGTAGCTTCCGAATGCATCTCAATGTAGTGTCAATAAGCTTGTGTTATTCACCACCCTGTTGTTAACAAAAGAATTGTAGACTTTTCCCCAGTATAAAACAACGTCATCCTTCCCATCTGTTCAATCTTGCGAGCCTCTACACCGTTCACTAATTTACATTAAATTCTCATTTTAATACCTGTAAATTGATAACTGAGAGCCCTAAAATTGACTATGTGCAAGTCAATCTAAAAGATTAAGCAGTTTATTTTTTATCATGAATGACATCAAATGACAAATTATAACAAACCCCTATCTAAACAAACCAATGTCCATAATACTTAGACATTTCATATTTCCTTATTTGATAAGATTAGATATGCAAGAACAACCTATACAGCAGTATATAAATAACACATGGGTTTGTGGGTAACAGTAAAATGATCATCCCGAGGAAAATACTGTAACCCTCGGCTACGCCTTGGGTAACCGTATTTTTACGAGGGATGATATTTTTACTGTTACTCACAAACCCATGTGTTATTTATTTTATTACCCCTAACAAAAATACTGTGATGATCTGAAATTGTCAACTAAATCTAACAAATATAAACCAAGAGTAACAACAACTAAACTGTCCTTTTAAATTTTAAGTGTACTTTAGGCCTACTTAAGAAGTTTTCTTTTTCTTTTATTCTTTAAGTAATTGATGACATCTACTAGTCATAAACATACGATAAGCTGTGTTTTATTTAGAAAACAAAACACTAACCCATTTATACGGTTATGATCTGTGAAATCTGATCCTTCTGTTTCCAGAATATTCTTCGCATAGTTTTTTAACATAAGAACGATGTTATTCTATGTGTGTCCACCATATCTGTAACGTTACACTGATTAAAATCGTTAAATAATCCTTTCATGCATGCTTGAATCGTCTGCATGCTCCAGTTTGACACATAATTATTTACATTGCAATTACTTCCGTTGAAAACGGATGTTTACTTTTTGACTATTCAACAAAAAGATATTTTATATGCGAAAAGCAATCCAAGGTGAGAACAATTAAATTTTATGGGTGTCATAGTTACTCCAGAGAAAATGTTGATGTCCTATAGGGGTTTAACGTCAAATGTAAGAATGAATCGAGAAAAAAATGGCGGCCATTTTATTTCATTTTATTTAGAAAATAGACCACATGACCAGTTTTATAGTGATAAAAAGTACTGTTACCTATTTAACAGTACAAACTTCTTAGTCACGTGATACACTTGCATTCACAGTAAGAATAACTCCCAGAGGCCTATGGGAAATTAACATTACGACAAAAGTGAGGGGTAATAATAAATAATGTGCAATTCTGAATTTACAGAAACATCACTTTAGAAATACAAATGTTACCACTGAGTACAGTCAGCCAAGCGCTTCTGTAATTCATACCAACGTTGTTTGCAACTAGACATGTGTACCAGCCTTCATCTTCCTTTGTCACATTTCGCAGAACTAGATGTTGAGGGTCGTCAATAGTACTTTTAAATCCAGAAGACTATAACGGAACATAACGGAGTATCATAAAACATTAATTATTAAACTTTGTAAAAAGTAAGTGGAAACATTGTGTAAATTCATCTTTATTTTTCTTACTTTCAATCATTGTAAAGTCTATAACATAATTGTATAACCTTGGTAGGTTTTAAATTTCAAATCCAACAAACTATGACAGAACAGACAAAATATCATAAAACAGAACAAGGTTGTAAAAATATGTGAAAACATTATGTAAATCAATCTATATTTTTCCATTAGAAATCATTTTATTGTCTATGACATAATTGTATAACCTACGTAGATCTCGATTTTGGAAATGTATTATGGTCCCGCATTACAAGTTATAAAGAAGACTTCACAAATAACAATCGAACAAACTACAGAATTTGTTTGCCTTAATTTGTATTAGCTTGACGACTACCACCTGTTAAAAGGTTCAGTATTATATAACAGACTGAAGGGAAAGTAGATCTCAATTGTCTAATTTAAAAACAAATTTAGTGTTAACTTATACATCATTAGAGTTGCATCAATAATTGTATGCTTGTATTTTAATCTAGTCATGGTACAGACATTGTCTGCATACTTTGAACACCACGCAGCATTAAATAAACAAATACATATTTTCAATTTTTCGGTATAAAAATGTTTTGATTTAACCGCTTTGCTAGCATAATAGACTAAAAGTAAAGGTTATAGCAGATTAGGAAAAGGACTAGGAAGCATTATTTTGCCTTTTAAACATTTTGTTATAAGCATGATTTCTAAGCGACTTTCTTGTGTATCCCAATATACCAATCGATTGCATAATTAATACATTGAATTCTCTCATATGACATTACTTTTTTCAATAAAAATGCCCTTTTATTTTAAACATAATAATTTAGATGAATTGATGACACGAGTTTAATATTGGTGTGACGAAAGAACGCAATTTAACCTGTAAAATCTTCACATATGGCTCCCCTTTCTCATTAACAAAGGCATCATTTGTCTTAATATGACGAAGCCATTGCAACAGTGGCTGAGAATCACTTAACACTATTCGGCAGGAGAAAGTTACATTGGTTCCAGTCAGTGCTGTCTGATTTCTAACATCTTCCATAATTGGGGCAAAACCATATTTCTCTGTAAGCAAAAAAGTAGAATATTCACAATATATATATATACATTTACTAAGATGAAACCAAAATTTTAGAATCCCACGGTCATATGTTGTATTTTCATATAAGTCCAAACTATTAATTTATTTTTCGTCGACTCATTGCTTCTGGATTAAAAATAGCTGATATCGAAACATCCCGAGTAAAATGGTCACACATAATAATGGTCTTAAACTTGATCCGGCAAAGATTCAATACAAATGTCATTTTAAGGTTTGTGTATATATATATGTGTGTGTGTGTGTGTGTGTGCGTGCGTGTTGGTGCGTGTGCGAGTGTGTTTGTGTGTGTTTTAATGCTTAAGAATGTTTGATGTTACATTATTAATATAAATTCAATGGTTCTGATAAAGATTTCACATAGCTTAATGTGTAATTAAAACGATATTACAAGTGTCCACAATTTTTGTCACGTCAGTTTCTTTCATGTCTGGAATTTGATTCTTTTGGTTAACTTATTTTGTTGTTTATATTCTAATTAATACACACTTAATTAATGTTATCAAATTGTTTGGCTATTTGCTTTATCGTATTCAAACGTTGGTATTATAAACTTGACGGTTAGCAAATATGAATCAATTTAGATAAAAATTACATCCAATGCTTGATGAATCTTACAATCTATTATTTAATTACAGTCTGTTCAACAAAACATAACAAATCAATGCAATTACTTTGCAATTTATTAAGTATAAAAGAGATGTGACAACCTTTCATTTTATGTTTTATATTTAAAATATCAGTAAATCAGTATTGTGTTTAATTAATAGGAACATGTATCAAAAAGTTTAATAATCTTCTGTGTTTAGTATACCATGTAATACTGTGGAAATAATTGTTGAAAATAACAAAATATCTTCTAACACACAATACTTTTTATCACACATAATTTAAATTACGGCATAATTGATATTTTGAGAAGAAAACATTTCACAAACTTACAAAAAACGTTGATGTATCCTAATCTTTTTATGCCTTGATTCTATTTTTATTTATCCACAAGCATCATCTAAAAACATCATCATTTAAAATACCCTTAAAATTGTATAGCAAACTTATCAGAAACACTTTTTCCTCATTCTGTGTCTGGATTTATCATCTACGATATTTGCCTAATTAAACACCCTGGAAAAATTACATTTATATACATATGACTCCCTTATACGTCTTATCTCTTTCAATGCAAACTATTTATCTTGTGTTCCGATTGAAATATTATGTTCAGATTTTTACAGCATTAAACTAGGGAGAAGTTATCATCACCTAACAACTTATGTTTATCGTTTTTCCCTTTTGATTTCTGTCCCTCAACATTTCATACATTAACATTTCTGCTACATTTCATAATGACTTGGTATTACAATCTACACAGAAAAATAATGAAAATATTACAATTCCATACGCATAAAATATTTCGCAATTTACTGTAAATATAGCTTCAAAATCTACTATTTAACATCTCATGTAGATGATTCACTTGTCAGTATTAATACACCTGGGCTATATAAATAAAGTCAAAGTCATTTAGCAATGTGCTAAGATTTAAAGCCTGAAAGCCTACAAGAAGATGTAACAGTTTCGTATGCAACACGGTTCTCACTATTGTCCCTATCAATTTAACTATAAACAAATCTGAGACCTTTTCTGTATATGTTGATATACACTTAAACCGAGTCTGCAATTCTTATGTTATTTTGTTGTGATTAATGCTTCCGAGGGATCACTTTGTTTCCAGAATTTTGTACTTCACAACAGCAGGTGTCAAGTGCCGTGTGGCAGCCGTAAAAAGTTAGCCGGTGCTAGGGGGCGTGATTGATGTTGCACTTATTCATTATCACTCATGTACAGACTCAATCAAACCGAGTCTGCAATTCTTATGTTATTTTGTTGTGATTAATGCTTCCGAGGGATCACTTTGTTTCCAGAATTTTGTTAGTAAGTAACACATTTTTTTCATGATTTTATTTCATAAATATGATGCTCAAATTAAGATTTGTCAATATTGTAAGTTCCAATAAGCATTATTTATAAAGATATTACCCAATTTAACATTTCATGTAAATAAAGGGAGGTAATTGGAAATTTATTTTCTATAAATTCTCAGTCAAATTTTCCAATAAGAAATGAATGCATGTAATAATTTGGTTAATTATAATGTGCACACATATTTGCAGTACAAATTTTACATATTCTTCGATGTTTGAAAATTGTTTTATTTGCATAATTATATACATATATAATTTTTTGCAAGTGTGGTATACACACAGTAACAAAATCAATCACAAAACATACAGGTCCTTTAAATGAAAAATGTATTTCAATTACAGTCATTTTTTCCGTGGCTATGTTTTTCTTACAATCTTTTATCTACCGGTTTCCTGATAAAATTTATAATAAGTAAAAAAATGTTTTCCATCCTATTATGCATGCTTGACTTTATTATATGATATTAAAAATGAAAACGAGTATAATTAACATTATGTCATTATGAAATAAATCAACGGAGACGACTTACTCTGTACTTCTAGTGTTATAGTCCGATTAATAGAACCATACTCATTTCTTACTTCGCATGTGTAGTTGCCATTATCCTCACGAGTTAGATACTTAACAGTTAGATTGTACCGATTGAATATATACTGAAAATATAGATGGACATTCATGTTCAATCAAATCTATTTTGAAGTAATGTGGACAGAAATACATCTGAAATTAAAAATAACCTAAATCAAATTTTCTGAATAAAAATATCAATTGCCGTTAAATATCGTTAGTCATGTATTACATTTACTAAATATTCTTTAAATAGATAAAGATTATTGCTGTTGAACATTATGATAATAATCATGAAAACAGGTTTGAATCATTTACTTGTTGAATTTTATCTGATCGCCTCATTGAAAATCAAGCACTTGGTAAACATTTAGTTCTATACAAAAACAGACGAATTTGACAGCTATTGTTTTTTCTCCTATGTAAAATGGTTCACTAAGCTCATTTTTAAACTACTGAAAACTTTAATTACTACACAATAACCCAATTAGTTCCTATCTTTTAGTTGCCTTTACATACACAAAAACCACGAGGGTGTGGCAAAAAGAAACAATCACAAAACTATCATTGAAATTGCCAATATATTCAAATTATGAATTTGCAATACAATAAAGCATCGTTTAGCAAGAAATGGTTTACTCCATGCAGAAAAAATCTAATATTCATATCTTCAATATATATTTATACATATTTATCAAATTAATGCTCCTTAACATTTGACATTTTTATAGCCAAATATAAGTACCTTTCCGGTTTTCTCTTTCATCGGAATTCCGTTCTTCAGCCAATTTATTTCTGCAACAGGAAAAGCCATGACATCGCAGTCAACGTCTATGGAGCTGTTTACTGCTTTTGCTAGGAATCGAACATGATTCCGTCTCTTAAATTCAGGAGGTCCTTTAATCAAAAAGGAGTATATGCATGGCTATTAATTTCATTGGTATACAGTTCTTAAAATGTTTTTTGTTTCTTATGTATGGAAAATTGGGTACTGTTCCCCGTTTCTCACACTTTCTCATAATATAATCAATTGAATATACTCTACCTATTCAAAAATAGTGCAATGTTTTTTATTTCCTTATGTGAATGGTTCTTTTTATTAAGTATACTTTTAACTAAAACGCAATGTATTTCAAAAATAAAAAAAAAACAGAAACAAAGACGAAAACTACAAAAGCTCAATTTAGCAAAAGGAAAAAATACTATTAAGGCACACATTTACCATACTGAATAAATGATTTGACATAAAAAGAGTAAAATATGTATTCCTATAAGCAGGTTCTCCGAAATTACAATGTGAATAGCTCTTGGGCTCAATAAAAGTAAATAAAATTTATTGTATACATTCTTAAAATGTTTTAGCTTGCTTATGTATGGAAAATTGGTACATTTCCGTTTCTCACCTTTCTAATTTTAACTTAATATACTCTACCTATTAAAATAGGTGTTTTATTTCCTTATGTGAATGCTTATTATTACTTTACAACGCATGAAAAAATTGTAATTGAATGCCTTAAAGCATATCTTAAATAAGTGCACTAAAGATACAAAATTATAAATACTGGTCAAAATGAGACATCTTTACTTCCTAGGTGTAGTATGAGAGCCATTAACTGACCATTATTTCACAGAGCTATAAATTGACTTTGAATGGCATACAACTAAGAAATGACTTCTTATGACAAGCAACAATGATTCAATTTACTATGACACAGAACCATGCCATCAATTGCTGTATATTTCCAAATACACATATTTGGACACATAATTAATTCAAAGTATCAGGATTTTTATTGGGTTGAGTCGCACCAACACAGAATAGGTCATTTGGCTATTAAAAATATTACTGGTGACGTAAGATCTCAGGTGCCATTCCGTGCATCATTTAAGGCACGAACGGGCACCTGAGTAGTACAACAAAGATTCCGCCAAAGATTTAAATATTTAGAACATGCTTAGCTAACCTTTGATGTCGTCAAATATTGTATCGTCAACTTCGTCTTGATAATCGTACCATTCTGTTGTTCTAACTTCATCTACAAACGATGAAATCTGTCATTTGCCATAACCATATCTTAATTATATATGTATTAAATAATTAAGATTATTTTGTTATTAGATTATCTGTAAAGAATTTGCAAGATGTTCTTTACATAAACTCTAATTCAAAAGAGGACAATATACTTAAAAATACTTCAGCTGACACGTGAACATTAAAAACTAGTAGTATAGAAAGAAACAAAACTAAATAAAAATATACAAGCAGATGCTACGAGTTTATACGTCACTAAATCAAATCCTGATCAGTATACATTTCTCTGTAGTATCAACAATATCTAAACTTTTGCTTAAAATATACTGCAAATCAGAAAGAGTGTTCCAAATGCATTTCAATTCACGTCCATCATACGAATTAGTTAGGTCGGTGCATGCTAAGTGACATTTAATGAAACTTTATCATCTGTACGGTAAAGATACCCCAGACGATACTGTGAACAACACAAAATCATTGCTTACTTTTAAACCGTCATTGCAGATGCAAATGAGTGGGGGAAGGATTGACGAATTGCAGTTTCAAGTAAGATCATTGCTTACATTTCAATATTGAGAGTTATTAAAGCACAATTGCTTTAAACTGAATAAAGCATATCAAAAATGTAAAATATGCAGTTCAGATAAGCATTAGAAACAGAAGATAGTTCTAAATATACAATAAGCACGGCAGCACCACGTGCACCAATGAATTTGATTATTAACTACAGAATCTAAATATTATGTTTATCTGTGACATCGAGTGTACGAACCTTTGTCTGTTTCCTTTAGCCCCTCAAATTCTGTCTCTAAAATTAACAAATAGGAAAATTGAAAATTACATGTCGGAAATCATTTTTAGAATTCTGCTCGATATAATTTGCACTGCAGATTTAGAATTGCATCTTAATCTAGTCTCAATAAGCTTGTTTTATTCATTATCCAGTTCTAACCGGAATAATTGTAGCCTTTTGCCAGTATAGAGCAGCGTCATCATTTAGAGCTGCACGGTCCGACTAGGCTCTACACCGATGACTTCATGCATTTTAATAAAAATATTGATATTCCTTACATTGATTGTTCGAGGGCTGCAAAATGGAACCTTTGCTACTCAATACAAAAGTCTCAGTAGTTTATTATAAACAAAATTACATCAAATCAATAGTAACTATACCGCAAAGCGATATCCATACTACCTGGGAATTAATTTTATATAATATCTTAAATATTAAATAAGAAGATGTTAAATTCATTCCCAGGTATTAGCGACATCGCTTTTGTGTTTAATTATAATTTGCAATTTGATGTAATTTTAGTAACAATCTATAAAACAGCAACTATGTTCAATTATTTTTTTCCCAGAAACTGCAAATACTTCTCCAGTAAAAGGAAAGTAATACAAATGTTACCATTCAGAACAGTCAGCCAAGCGCTTCTGTAATTCGTACCAACGGTGTTCGCAACTAGACATGTATACCAGCCTTCATCTTCCTTTGTCACATTTTGCAGAACTAGATGTTGAGGGTCGTCAATAGTACTTTTAAATCCAGAAGACTATAACGGAACATAACGGAATATAATAAAACATTAATTAGTTGCAAAAAGTAAGTGGAAACATTGTGTAAATTCATCTTTATTTTCCTTATTTTCCATCATTGTAAAGTTTATTACATAATTGTTTAACCTTGGTAGGTTTTAAATTTTGAAATATATTATAGTCCCGCATTACAAGTAATCATCAAGACTCTTCACAAATAAAAATCTACCAAACCGCAGATCTAATTTGTTTGCCTTTATATGTATTAGCTTTATGACTTCTACTTGTTAAAAAAGTTCAATATAATGTAACTCAAATAAATATAAATCTAAATAGTCTAAAACTACTTTGGTGGAAACACATGCATCATGACAGTTGCATCTGCTTGCAACTAGACAATTATAAATTATTTCCTTTGTAATTTGAGAACTAATGTAGGTCGTCAGTCTTTTTAATCCACAGCACTAATAAGTAAATAACGAATATTAATTAATTAGTTGCAAAAAAGTGGAAATTGTTAATTATTTATCCTATCCATCATTGTAAATTATTAATAATTTATAACAATTGGATAGGAATTTTAATTAATTTTTATGCAAAACAAGTTTGATATAACCCCATATTTCCAAGCACTATTTGCTTTATGTATATATGTCAATCGGTTGCATGATTAATGCATTGCATTCTCACAATACTATTGTCAATATAAATGACCCTTTGTTTTTAAAGATAATAGTTTAGATAATTTATTGATGACACGAATTTTTAGCGAGGTAAGAAAACGCAAATTAACCTTGAAAGTCTTCACATATGGCTCCCCTTTCTCATTAACATAGGAATCATTTTTCTTGAAATGACGAAGCCATTGCAACAGTGGCTGAGAATCACTCATCACTATTCGGCAGGAAAACGTTACGTTGGTGCCAGTTAGTACCGTCTGATTACTAATATCTTCCATAATTGGGGCAGAGCCATATTCCTCTGTAAGCAACAAAAATAAAAATAGAATATTTACAACTGTACAATACAAAATTTTAATGATTAAGACATATATTTACTTAGATGAAACCAAAATTCTAGAATCCAACGGTCATCTGTTGTATTTTCATATAAATCCAAAATATTAATTTCTTTTTCGTCGATTTATTGCTTCTATACCAGAAAAAGGCTGATATCGAAACAACAAGAGTAAAATGGTCACAATTATAATAAAGTTTTTAAATAACTAGTCTTAAACTTGATCCCATCAAGATAAAGATTTCACATAACTAAATGTATAATTAAAACGATATTCCAAGTTTCCACAATTTTTGTCATGTCAGTTTCTTTCCAGTCTGGAATTTGATTCTTTTAGTAAGCTTGTTTAATTCGTTGTTTATATTCTAATTAATACACACTTTATTAATGTTATCAAATTGTTTGACTATTTGCCTTATCGTCCAAAAATATTTTCAAACGTTGGTATTATAAACTTGACGGTTAACAAAATTTTAATATGAATCTAACAAAAATGAATATACATCAGTCTCACCAATTACATGTTTAATCACAGGAACCCGAAATTCTATCCAAAACAAAAAATAATGATTTAAAAAAATACTATATATATGCTATAAAAACACAAGGAAGGCAACAACATTTCCCCACCCACCGCTACATTTACAAGTAATATTCGTAAAAACGCCTGGAATTTACTTCCGATTACACTTAATCAATAAAGCACATTAAAATCCACCAGAAACACAACTTACTCTTACCAATTATCTAACTTTTACGCCAATTGAATGAATATATCACTGCTCTTCTCCCATCGTCGGTTCCATTGCCAGTTCAAGCGATAAACTCCGTCATACCGTTATTGACCGATCTTTGTTTATCCCGAAATTCTATCCAAAACAAAAATAAATAAAGATGTAAATAAAATTCCCATATTGTATACTACTCTTATATTTATGGGATTTTTATTTAAATCATTTTTTTTGTTTTGGATAGAATAGAATTTCGGGGTCTACAAAGACCGGTCAATAACATGTATGACGGAGTTTATCACTTGAACTATGGGAGAAGAGCATTGAAAAATTCATTCAATTGGCGTAAAAGTTGGATAGTTGGTAAGAGTAAGTTCTGTTTCTGATAGATCTTAATGTGCTTTATTGATTTAGTGTGCTCGGGAGTAAATTCCAGGCGTTTTTACGAATATCTTTGTAAATGTAGCGACGGGTGGGGAAATGTTGTTGCCTTCCTTGTGATTTTTATAGTATATATATGGGATTTTTTAAATCGTTATTTTTTTTGTTTTGGATAGAATTTCGGGTTCCTGTGGTTTAATATTAAAGCTTTAACAAAAAAGAGGTATAATTATGAATGAAGACAACGAATCATTTTCATTTGATATCCCCTTAAGGCCATCAAACTACATATAAAAAGAAATTCTCTTGATAAGGTGTTACACATACAGTTATTCTTTGTGGTACAGTGTAAGACATTTTTATTTTAGAGAACTTGAAATGTATCATCTGTTGAAAGACAATGCATTGGATGAAGACGTTAAAGCCTATTTTTAATACCTCAGTCTGTTGTGACCAACATAACAAATGAATGTAATTACTTTGCTATTTATTAAGTATATTAGAAACGTGAAAACACAACCTTTTTATGTATTATATTCAAAATATTAATATTATGTTTAGTTAATAGAAACATGTATCAAAAAGTTTAATAATCTTTTGTGTTTAGTATACAATGTAATACTGTGGAAATAATGATTGAAAATAACAAAATATATTTTTACACACACTACGTTTTGTCACACATAATTTAAATTACGGCATAATTGATATTTTAATTAAAATATTTCACAAACTTACAAAAAAAAAACGTTAAGGTATTCTAATCTTTTTATGTCTTGATTCTATTTTTATTCATCCACAAGCATCATCTAAAAACATCAGCATTTATTTACCCTTTAAATTGTATAGCTAACTTATCAGAAACACTTTTTCCTCATTTTGTGTCTGGATTTATAGTTATCTTTGAATTCCTTTATCATCTACGATATTTGACTTTTTAGACACCCTGGATTAACTACATTTACATATGACTCCCTAATACGGCTTAACTCTTTCAATGCAAACTATTTATCTTGTGTTCCGATTTAAATATTATGTTCGGATTTTACGGCAATATACTAGGGAGAAGTTATCATCACTGAATTGCTTATGTTTATCGTTTTTCCCTTTTGATTTTGTCCCTCAACATTTCATACATTAACATTTCTGGTACATTTTATAATGACTTGGTATTACATTCTACACAGAAAAATAATGAAAATATTATAATTGCATAGTATTAAATCTTTCGCAGTTTAATGTAAATATTTCTTCAAAATCTACCATATAACATCTCATGTAGATAATTCACTTGCCAGTATTAATACACCTGGGCTATATAAATACAGTCAAAATTATTTAGCAATATGCTAAGATTTAAATATTGAGAGTCTACAAGCAGGTGTAACATTCGTATACAATACTCTCTGAGTCTCTCTCTCTATTGTCCCTATCAATCTACCTATGAACAAATCTGAGACATTTCTGTATATGTTGATAAGCACTGTTAATAAATGTAAAAATTATTTCAATTACAGACAAATTTTTCCGTGATTATGTTAAATTCATAAATTTTTCATAACCATCTTTTAACAACCGGTTTCCTGATAAAACTGTTTAAGTATAAAACGTTTTCTATATTATTCGGCATGATTGACGTTATTATATGATATCGAAAATGAAAACGAGTATAATACGCATGATGTCATTATGAAATAAATCAACGGAGACGACTTACTTTGTACTTCTAGTGTTATAGTCCGATTTATAGCACCATACTCATTTCTTACTTCGCATGTGTAGTTGCCATTATCCTCACTAGTTAGATACTTAACAGTTAGCGTGTAACGATTGAATATATACTGAAAATATATATGGACATTTCTGGTCAATCAAATCTATTTTGAAGTAATATGGAAAAAACACATCTGAAATTAGAAATAACCTAAATAAAATTTTCTGAATATTTATATCTATTGCCGTTAAATATCGTTAGTCATGTATTACATTAAGCAAATATTTTTAATTAGATAAAGATAAGTGCTGTTGAACATAATGATAATAATCATGAAAACAGGTTTGAATCATTTACTTGTTGAATTTTATCTGATCGCCTCATTGAAAATCAAGCACTTGGTAAACATTTAGTTCTATACAAAAACAGACTAATTTGACAGCTATTGTTTTTTCTCCTATGGTTCACTAAGCTCATTTTTAAACTACTGAAAACTTAAATTACTACACAATAACCCAATTAGTTCCTATCTTTTAGTTGCCTTTACATACACAAAAAAACACGAGGGTGTGGCAAAAAGAAACTATCACAAAACTATCATGAAAATTGCCAATACATTCAAATTATGAATTTGCAATACAATAAAGCATTGTTTAGCAAGAAATGGTTTACTCAATGCAGAAAAAATCTTAAATATATATTTATACATTTATCAAATTAATGCTCCTTAACATTTGACATTTTATAGCCATATCTTAGTACCTTTCCGGTTTTCTCTTTCATCGGAATTCCGTTCTTCAGCCAATTTATTTCTGCAACAGGAAAAGCCATGACAGCGCAGTCAAAGTCTATAGAGCTGTTTACTGCTTTTGTGAGGAATCTAACATGACTCCGTCTCGTAAAATCAGGAGGTCTTTTAATCAAAAAGGAGAATAGACATGGCTTTTAATTTCATTGGTATACACTCTTAAAATGTTTTTGTTCCTAATGTATGGAGAGTTGGGTGCTGTTCCCCGTTTTCTTACACTTTCTCAGCACTTAATCAATTAAATATAGTCTACCTGTTCAAAAATAGTGCAATGATTTCCTTACCTTATACAAATGGTAATCGTACTTTTATAAAGTTTATTTTAAACTAAAACGTTTTATGTATTTCAAAAATAAAAGAAACAGAAACAAAGACAAAAACTACAAAACCTCAATTTAGCAAAGGAAATTTATACTAATAAGACACACAGTTCCAAATTGAATCAAACTGATATAAAAAAGAGTAAAAAATGTATTCATATAAGAAGTTGTCTGAAATAACAATGTGAATAGATCTAGGGTTCAATAAAAGTACATAAAAGCTTTATTTAACACTTATTTAACTACCTTATTAAATCTTAAGCACATTTCGAGTTGTTTTAAGTTTAACTTAAAATACAAAATAGGTACCTACCAAAGCTTTATATAAGAAGGAAAAAATATTTAAATGCCTTATAGCATATCTTAAATAAGTGTACTAAAGATACAGAATTATAAATATTGGTCAAAATGAGACATGTTTACTTTATATGTTTAGTAAGCGAGCCATTAACTGACCAATTATATCAGAGAGCTAAAAATTGACTTTGCATGGCATACAATTAGGAAATGACTACTTATGACAAGCAACCAGGATTCAACTTATTATGACACAGAGCCAATTGCTGTATATTTCCAATTATACATATTTGGACACATAATTAAGTCAAAGTATCAAGAGATTTTTTTTGGTTGAATCTTAAGTCGCACCAACACAGAATAGGTCATTTGGCGACTTTAAAAATCTTACTGGTGACGGACGATCCAAAGTGTCATTCCATTTAAGGCACGAACGGGCACCTAAAATGTACAACAAAGATTCCGCCAAAGATTCAAATATTTAGAGCATGCTTAACTAACCTTTTAGGTCGTCAAATTCTTTATCGTCAACTCCGTCTTGACAATCGTACCAATCTATTGTATTAAATTCATCTACAAACAATGAAATCTTTCATTTGCCATAATCATATCTTAATTTTATTTGTATTAAATAATTAAGGTGAGTTTCTTATTAGATTATCTATAAATTATTTGCAAGATGTTCTTTACATAAAACTCTAATTCAAAATAGGCCAGAATACTTAAAAACGACTACAGCTTAACGAACACGTGAACATCAAAAACTTGCAGTAAAAGGAAGAAACAAAACTATATAAAATATATACAGGCTACGAGTTTATACGTCACTGAATCAAATTCCGTTCAGTCTACATTTCTCTGTAGTACCAACAATATCTAAACTTTTGCTTAATATATACTGCACTTCGGAAAGAGTGCTTCAAATGCATTTTAATTCACTTCCTACGAATTAGTTAGGGCGGTACATGCTTCATTTGTAAGTGACTTTTAATGAAACTTTATTATTGACGATCTGTGCGGTAAAGATACCCCAGACGATACTGTGAACAAAACAAAATGATTGTTTATTTTGAAACTGTCATTGCAGATGCAAATGAGTGGGGAAATGATTGAAGAAGTACAGTTTCAAGTTAGGTCATTGCTTACATTTCAATATTGAGAGTTATAAAAGTACAAGTGCTTTAAACAGAATAAAGCATATCAAAAATGTAAAATATGCAGTTCAGATAAGCATTAGGGACAGAAGATAATTCTAAATATACAAAAACTAGGACTAGCACGGCAGCACAACTTGCATGTTAACTGCAGAATTTTAATATTATGTTTATCTGTGACAGCGATTGTACGAACTTTTGTCTGTTTCCTTTAGCTCCTCAAATTCTGTCTCTAAAATAAACAAATAGGAAAATTGAACATTACATGTCGGAAATCATTTTTTAGACTTCTGCTCGATATAATATGCAAAACAAATTAAGAAAAGCATCTTAATATAGTCTCAATAAGCTTGTTTTATTCATTATCCTGTTCTAACCGGAAGAATTGTAGCCTTTTTCGCCAGTACAGAGCAGCATCATCATTCAGAGCTGTACAGTCCGACTAGGTTCTACACCGATGACTTAATAGCTTTTAATAAAAATATTGATATTCCTTACATTGATTGTTCGAGGGTTGCAAAAATGGAAACTTTACTACTCAATACAAAAGTGTCAGCAGTTAATTATAAACGAAATAACATCAGATGACAAATTATAATTAAACAGTATCTATACCGCAAAGTGATGTCCCTAATACCTGGGAATAAATTTATTATATTCTTATTTGATATCGTAAATATTCAATAAGCATTCCCAGGTATTTGGGACATCGCTTTTGCAGTAGAGATACGGTTTAATTATAATTTGTCATTTGATGTAATTTTAGTAACAATCTATAAAACAGCAATTATGTTCAATTCTTTTTTTTCACAAAAATATCAAATACTGCTCTAGTAAAAGAAAAGTAATACCAATGTTACCATTCAGAACAGTCAGCCAGGCGCTTCTAGAATTCATTCCAGCGCTGTTCACAGCTAGACATGTATACCAACCTTCATCTTTCTTTGTCACATTACGTATAATTAGGTGTTGAGGGTCGTCATTTGCTCTTTTAAATTCAGAAGACTATAGCAAGAAAAAATATGAGTTAATAAAATATGTGAAAGCATTATCTAAATAAATCTGCAGTTCCGTTTTATAATAATATAAATAATTGTATTACCTAAGTTTCTTAATGTTATCATGTATTAAAAACACTCATTATAAGCAATATGCAAGAGTGTAAACAAATAACAATCTAGCAAATAACAGTTCTAACTTGTTTGCTTCCATTTTTATAAGCTTTGCGACTTATTGTCTCAAAACAAATCCGTGGGAACACATACAAAATTGAAGTTGAATCTGCTTATTCAAAACATAAAATGTTTATATCATTCTGTATGAATATTTAGTGGAGACCAGTGGTTCAGAAGTTGTCGGTATATTAATCACCTAACAAGCATTTCAGTAAAAACATAGTTTCAGTTTTTTGTGTGTCTTTTCTTTGTTTGGTTGAGTTTTACTTTACACCGACACATTAGGTCATGAGGTGGCGTGCCAGTTTTTACTTTAATTGTTTTATTTATTTTTTTATTATTTTTTTAATTGTTTTATTAACATAATTATACATTAAAAGTAATAGGTCATTACAAATGGAGTAGGACGCTTTATTTACGCTTTTTTTAAAACAATATTAACAATCATGATTTGTAAACGACTGACTTTATGTACCAATATTTCAATCGATTGCATAATTAATACATTGT